CTAACAAGCCATGTGCAGGACAACCAGGGGATCAGGCCCAGCCAGCACGGGTTCATGAAAGGCGGGTCCTACTTGACCAACCTGATCTCCTTCTATGACCAGGTGACCTGCCTCGTGGATGTGGTCTACCTGAACTGTAGTAAAGCCTTTGACACTGTCTCCCACAGCATTTGAGGTGGGTGTTGGTCTTTTCTCCCAAGTAACTAGCGATGGGACGAGAGGAAATGGCCTCAAGTTGTGCCAAGGGAGGTTTAGATTGGACATTAGGAAAAAATTCTTTACTGAGGGAGTGGTCAGACAGTGGAACAGGCTGCCCAGGGAAGTGGTTGAGTCACCATCCCTGGAAGAATTTAAAAGACCTGTAGATGTGGTGCTTAGGGACATGGTTTAGTGGGCATGGTCGTGTTGCGTTGACGGTTGGACTTGATCTTAGAGGTCTTTTCCAACCTTAATGATTCTATGTTTTCAGCTCTTCTACGGCACCACACTTCCATAGTATGTTTACTGCTACCCTAATCCTGGTATATTCTGTATGTTCTCTTGCTCATCTCTGATGACATTATTATAAAGAAGATGAGAAAGGATATTCTGTGACAGTTTTTGTCCCTATTAATTGAGACAGAATTATCTGATATACCTCTGGCATCTAGTGCCTTTGTTGCCAGCTTGACTGGTAATGATTGGCAGATGGAGTGGAGGCAAAATAACCATCAACTTTTCTTCATTGTCATTTGTGGTTGGCTATTGAAGGAAAATGGTTGGGGACAATTCAAGAGCAAGGACAGTGTTTCCTGAGGTTGCTAGGTGCTACTATATTGGTAGCAATTACCTGCCTGCTGTCTTTTAGTATGTCTGCTAATGCCCGTTGTGGTAATAGACTTCTCCAGAAGAATAAGCAAGGGCCCTCGCAGTAGCAGCAGGCATATCTACTTCCTTTGTTTTTTCCCACCATATGTGGTTGTATAGCACCTCCAAGCTGCCTTCTTCAGTAAATGTTTTGTTGAGTCATTTAATCTAGCCCCTCCATCACATTGCTTAATTTCTCCTATGATTTCACTTAGATTTCATGTCTTTTGTGCAAGGTGTTTATGCAACTTTGTATGGGCAGGAAGGAGTCATCTGGGAAACTGCTACATGTTTTTGTGGCATTGGGCAAGACTGAGATTTCAGACCGTTTCTTCCTGCAAACTATGCAAGTGGGTCACTTGATGCAGTGAACAGTGAGTGTCAGTAGATATGAGCAGGCTTTTCAGGCTTCCTGAGAGAATCTGCAGAGAATCATAGAATCATTAGGTTGGAAAAGACCTCTAAGATCATCATGTCCAACCGTTAACCCAACACCACCATGCCCACTAAAGCATGTCCCTAAGCGCCTCATCTACACGTCTTTTAAATACTTCCAGGGATGGTGACTCCACCACTTCCCTGGGCAGCCTGTTCCAAGGCCTGACCACTCTTTCAGTAAAGAAGTTTTTCCTAATGTCCAGTCTAAACCTCCCTTGGCACAACTCGAGGCCATTTCCTCTCGTCCTATCGCTAGTTACTTGGGAGAAGAGACCAACCCCCACTGCGCTACAACCTCCTTTCAGGTAGTTGTAGAGCATGATGAGGTCTCCCCTCAGCCTCCTCTTCTCCAGACTAAACAGTCCCAGTTCCCTCAGCTGCTTCTCATAAGATTTGTTCTCTAGACCCTTCACCAGCTTCGTTGCCCTTCTCTGGACACGCTCCAGCACCTCAATGTCCTTCAGACATACTTGGAGCTCAAGCTGTGTGTTGCCAAGAATAGCAACTTGAGTTAACTGGTCCAACCCACATGCCTGAAAGGGCAACTCTTTATTTATTGTTTAGTGAGTTATTATTTGCTGCCACAGAATCTTCCTCTAATTAGTCTGGGAATAGCTGACTCACACACCTCAGGACATGTGAATTAAATCTGGAAAAGATACGTTGTTACTTGCCTTAGTCTTGCATCCTACCATAACTTCTGCCTTGCATTGGCACTCCTGCAAAACATATGCCTGTGAGGTTCTGTGCTTAGGAAGGAGCTGCTCCCCATCCCATCTGTCCCTGCCCAACTCCGAGTGCTGTTACAAAGCATCCGTAGCTCTTTTGATGCTGTCTCTGGATACTAATGTTGTGTACTTGACATGTGTGCATGATGAGGAATCATTCACACAGAGAAAACATAGTGGTAAGCTGCCTTTACTGAAGGTCATTACTGCATCTCTTTCTTCCTCCTTACTTCAGGACCCATTTACATTTAAGTTTCTAGCCTTTCTTGCTGTAGAGTAGCATTGCTCATTTTTCAAGTAGATAGGAAGCCATTTGAAAAGTGAACATTTGGGAGATGTGACCTTGTACCCATTCTACTTGCAGGGAAAAATGGGTTGGTATTGCATATTTGTATCATCTTAAATATTGGTGTTACGAATTTTCCCTATTGGACACATTAGATACATACTGTTTGGCTGTTCATGTACTGCGTAGAAAAAACGTCTTTTTCCTACCCATCTTTGCCTACATAGCTTCTTCCACTCCTGCAGCATGAGTTCCCTTTTAAATCACATGATGCCTCACTTGCGTCTCTTTTTGGTGTTTTGATTCCCACTACTGTTTGTCATACCACTTGAATTACCTTCAGATCTGCTTCTTGCTCTTCTGCCTTGCATACTACATGTCTTCTGCTCAGCTACCTATAGACGCCATAGGCAGAAGGTCCTGTGCTTCCTTCAAGCTGAGAATTCTCCTTCCTTCCCATCAGGCTTTTCCATCACCCAGTTCTCTGCTTTTTAACGCACCTTCTCTGTCTTGCTGTACTTGTTCTTGATATCAGGCCCTTTTCACTGAACTTCCTGTTGGTCCACTCTTTTTCTCTTTGTAACATTTACTGAGCTTATTATAGTGAGAATGTGTTTAAGAGCATATTAAAAATTTCGTCTGCATTTTCTTCTGTTGTTTCCATCTCTGTTTTAAAACTTGGCTGTTACATCATCTGTATGATTGATAAAAATTTGAGAAAGCTTCCAGATGTGGAACAAAGATAATAGAAAAAAAAGACATTAAAAGCAATGAAGTTTTCTGTTTAGTGCTGGGGATCAAATGCGAGTTCTTGTGTCAAAACAACAGGTCAGATTTATTTAGAATTTATCAAGAAGGTGTAAGAACATACACTGCAAGTGAATTAATAGTTTTGCTAGTGGACAGTATCTCCAAGATAATTACTTATTTGTATTTATACTGCAAACAATATTATTTTCTTTTGTTTTGTCCTCCAACTTTATGCCCTGATAATTTGATATGGTGTATTTCCTCTCTTGTTGTTGTATGAGATCCAAACATGCAGTCTGTTAATGGGTTCAGAAGTAGTTCCTTTGGGTTTTGTAATTTGTCAAGACAACTTGCACATGTGAATTACATTAAAATCCTTATTTTTGTGACTGTACAAATAAAGAAATTAGACACAAGAGTTTCTGTGAAATAGTATGCTGCCTCAACAACATTTCTTGTATTAGTGAGGTCTGTTGTAATAGTACCCATTTTTATATGCAAAGCTTCTTTTAATTGGCATGATTTTGTCATTTATTTCATGTTTTTTGTCCCTGATCTCACAAGTGCTCTAGCACATGCTGAATTCTTACATTTTAGACTTAGCCTAGATCAGGTATTTTTTTAGGTAGTGTGGGCTCCCAATGCAATAAGTACAGGCTAGTGGTTTGATTCTTGTACACATGAGGAAAGAAATGTGAAAAGTGAGTAAGAGGATCACATCGTATAGATGTATATTGCATTGGTGAAATCATTACTAGGATAAGCTCACTTCTGAAAATAAACACTTAAACAAACCCCTGTTAGGAAAAAAGCGGTACAGATTCTTGTGTACCAGGTCTTTTTCTGCAGGTCTTAGTAACAAGCTGTGCTAGATGGAGAGACTTTATCGTTTATCCATGAGAAGTTTAAATGTGAACTTCATCATTTTCTATAAATACCTACATGAGCAAGAGGTCTCAGAAGCAGGCCTTCTCAACTAGCATGTACATCAACTAGCATATGTACATCACAACATGTACATATTTAGGCAATATATAGTGGCTGACACACATTAAGGCTAGAAATAAACTGGGTGTGTTTTGGGCTTGTGGTGTTTTCTTTTGTTGTTTTGTTTGGTTTTTTAAATGAGAATAGCTGATTTTTGAACCAGTTTATCTGCAGCCACAGTAGATTTTCTTAGATAGGATGTCACCTCTTTATGAAGATGAAGCTGTAGTAAAGGCAGAAATTTATTAATTCGCTGAAGGAATTCAACAATGGCATTCTGTTCATATGCAGGGGTCAGACTAGCTGATTATATTGATTATATCTTCAGGCTTAAAAATTTATTCCTCTTTAAGGCTGACAGTTAAATTTTCGGTGGCAGTTAAATGTTAAGTCGTTGTTTGGTTTGAAATTATCTTTTCTAAAACAAAGGTTATTGTTGTTTTTATTTCTGGAAGCAAACTTATTTATGAAATTTCAGATGGCACATGAACTGCCATTCCTGCCTCCAGACCTTTACTATTCTGCACTGCAGTGGTTTGAAACATTTCGCTTTATTCTTTGTGTAATTCATGTTTGTGAAGGACTATGCAGAAAAGTACTTTTAGGCATATAGCATGCCTTTCCAGGACTAATATTAAAGAAAAACTTCTGCACTAAAAGTAATTTCAGATGCACCAGGGTATCTTGCTTCAGAAGACTGAGCAGACAGTTACTTTCGGCAGTGTGTGTTTAAGATGGGCACGTTTTTGCTTTGAACTAACTGAAACCTTAGGTTTTCTTCACTTTTTTAAATGCAGTCTCTTTTGACTTGTAAGGGTGTGTGTGAGGGTTTTTTGTTCTGTTTTTTTAAAATAATGAGTATGTCTGATTGCCTTGTTTTGAAGAGGCTTCTGAGAAAAGACAAATGTTTAACTCATGTAATACCAGTATTTTTACGCTGAACTGTGTCTCTGATCTAGCCTAAAGCTCTCTTGAATTAATGCTAATCTTTATGTTGACTTTGGATTATACTGGGGGGTTAAGTGTGAACTAAATTAGATTTATGATTTCTCCAACAATGCAGTTGTCTGGTAATACTGCATAATAAAAGCTTGACAAATAATTTTTGGGTATATAGACTTAAACATTCCATGTCTCCTTAAGTTTTGTTACACCGTGAGTAGCATGTCTTAGTGTTCTTTTGTCTGCACTAGTAACAATGTTTTCCTTTCACCTGCAGAAAGCCACGACTCCTGTGATAAATGGAATTGTTCAAGATGAGTTTTTTGTGAGTTTGAAGATGAGCACCTACCTAGTAGCCTTTGTTGTTGCAGAGTTGAAAAACATCAGTACGGAAACTAATGGGAGCCTGGTATGTTGTTCCACTTTAAGTTTGCCCTCACTCCTCCCAGACCAACAAGCCAACCAAACCAAAACAAAAAAATCCCCAAACCAACAAGCAAACTCTGTCTCTTTTAAATTTATTTATTTTCTTGGATATATATACTCATGGTAGGTAGTGGACAAAAGCCTTATGCTGTAGGTTGGACTGACTTCAGGGCTTATACCAGAATGAGAAGACTTTTACAGCAAGGGACTCAGCATCAGGTCTTGCTAACAGTGGAAATTTACAAAATGTAAAATTCCTAAGACCTTTCAGAGCTGGAAGCTTTAAACTTTTAGTTTTATGCTTCATTTGTGAGGGAGTAATGTCAGGCAAACCAAGAGTTGTTCAGAAACATTACAGTTTCCAGGGAAGCCTACATACTATTTCAAGCAGTGCTGCAAGTATGTTCTGTACCTGCAAAGATAACCTACCTAAAAAAACACATGCTCTGCAGTAAAGCAAATTTAGACTAACTTTAAGTCTGCATTTAGTCACTTGAATACAATGATTTCATTATGGGATTTTTGTTTTTCCAAAGGTTCCAAAAAATCACACATTTGGTCCTGTTTGATCTTTGTCCTTCATAGGGATGTGGCCTGGAGGGTCAGTGAGCAGTTCCGGCAATAAGTGCAATTAAAGTAACTAAAGAAAAATATGGTAATATTAGGAGACGCTTCTTAGTCTTAGGAGGTGCAAGAGTTTCACGTGAGCAATGATTGTCATGACTCTCTGGCAAGAACTGCCCCTTAGTGGTGAAATGTCAGCAGTGCCACTACCTACCTAGAAAGAGCCAGAGGGAATAGTGCTAGTAGCAGTGCAGAAGAAGAAGCAGCCCTGTCTTTAATCCAATATACAGAAGTAAAGATACTGGTCAATAAGCTTTGATTCTGACTTGGACAAGTATTTCTAATTAGAGCTGAATATGGCAGACTATTTAGTATAACCTGAGAAGTTAGACCACTACTTTCTTATTTTTTTTCCTTGTGGCTACTATTCAGGTCTGTATTTGATCTGTATTGTGGTAAAACAATATAGCCAGTTCTTTATCAGACAGAAAATTGATCAGTGTATTAAATGTTTCGTGTTTGCAGAGAGTCTGAAACAACTATCTATGTAGTGTGCTTTGTTTTGTTCCTATTAATGAGACTAACTTGCATGAATTGTCGGTACTTCAGAAGTATTTTATGGCAGAGGCATGGAGGAGAGGAGAACAAGACTGCGTGATGTATTCTAAGGAAAGTAGATCTAAACTGTGCTTCTCCTTCATTCTGACCACCAAGTAAGATTTGGCCAAGTAAGGGAAGTTCAGCAGACCTTTAGAAGGCACCAAACACGAGAGATCTAGCCGTGTGTAACAGTACTTGCCAGCTTAAAGGGAGAAAGCATAAGAATGGTCATATGAAGCGTCGTGGTTTAACCCCAGCCAGCAACTAAAGCCCACACAGCCGCTCGGTCACCCCCCCTACCTCTCCAGTAGGGTGGGGGAGAGAATCGGGAGGGCA